TGATGTAGAAATTATCAAGCCAGAACATGTCATTTGTAACTTAACATATGAGAATGCTTCAATTAAAATGAGAATAAAAGTACAACGCGGAAGAGGTTATATTCCTGCTTCTTCCAGAATACATGTTGAAGATGATTTACGACCAATAGGTTGTTTATTAGTTGATGCTTGTTATAGTCCTATAGATCGAATTTCTTATAATGTAGAAGCAGCACGTGTAGAACAAAGAACAGATTTAGATAAATTAATTATTGAAATGGAAACTAATGGAACTATTGATCCAGAAGAAGCTATTAGACGTGCAGCCACTATTTTAGCTGAACAATTAGAAGCTTTTGTTGATTTAAGAGACGTACGAGAACCTGAGATTAAAGAAGAAAAACCTGAATTTGATCCAATTTTATTGCGTCCAGTAGATGATTTAGAATTAACAGTTCGTTCTGCTAATTGTCTAAAAGCAGAAGCTATACATTATATTGGTGATTTAGTCCAAAGAACTGAAGTAGAACTTTTAAAAACGCCTAATTTAGGTAAAAAATCTTTAACTGAAATCAAAGATATATTAGCTTCTCGTAATTTATCTCTTGGTATGAGATTAGAAAATTGGCCGCCGTCAAGTATTCTTGATGAATAATGTCTATCTAATGTTAAATTAATATTGAAATAAAAAGGAATAAATTTATGCGACATCGAAAAAGTGGTCGTCAATTAAATCGAAATAGTAGCCATCTTAAAGCTATGTTAAAAAATATGGCATGCTCGTTATTAATGCACGAAATTATAAAAACAACGTTAGCAAAAGCAAAAGAACTACGTCGTATTGTCGAACCTATGATAACTCTATCTAAAATAGATACAGTTTCTCGTAGACGATTAATTTTTTCTCGTGTACGTGATAATGAAATCGTATCAAAATTATTTAAGATACTAGGACCTTCTTTTTTTTCTAGATTAGGAGGTTATACACGTATTTTAAAATGCGGATTTCGATCTGGTGATAAAGCTCCTATGGCTTATATTGAATTAGTTGATCGTGTTAAAAAAAATAAAAAAGAAAAAATTATAGAACAATAAAATTTAATAAGATCTCTATATTTGCAAAAATATTTAATATAATAATTTTTATTAGTAAAAAATAATTTATAGCAAACGGAAAGATACCGTTTGCTTATCTGTTTTAGACAAGATATTTTTTTATATAATAGTTCCAATTTTAAATAATTTCTTTTTTGAAAGAAGTATATTTTTAACATCCATAATTTTTTTTCCAGATAATTGTATTTTTTCAATTTTTAATATTTGATAAGATGTATTTATTTGAATTCCATCATCATTAGCTGATATAATTTCTCCTATATGAAAATTTTTTTTTTCTAGAGGAACGAGTTTTGCTTGCCATACTTTAATTAATTGATTTTCTATTATAAAATAACAAATAGGCCAAGGATTAAATGCTCTTATTAATCGTTCTAATTTTTTAGCTTTATCATTCCAGTTTAAGAGTCCATCTTTTTTATAAATTTTTTTTGATAAAATTACGTTTTTTTGATTTTGTTTTTTTTCAACAATTTTATTTTTAATAATTTTTTCTAGGACTTCGAATAATGCTTGAATTCCAATTTTTATTAGTTTTAAAGATAAACTATAAGTAGTATCTTGACTTGATATATTACATTTTATTTGATGTATGATAGTACCGGAATCAATTTTTTCATTCATTTTAATAATACTAATACCTGTTTCTTTATCACCATATAAAATTGCTGATTGAATCGGAGTTGCTCCCCTCCATCTAGGTAATAGTGATGCATGAACATTAATGCAACCTTTTGGAAACATGGTCAGAATTTTTTTTGGTATTATTTGACCATAAGATACTACTATCATAATGTCTGCATTTAATTGCAAGAGTTTTTTTTGAAAACATTTATCATTTAAATCTTTGGGTTGATAAATGGGAATTTTATTATTTATAGATATTTTTTTAACAGGAGAAAAAATAATTTTCTGCCCTCTTCCAGAGGGAAGATCAGGCTGACTAATGACTAATATTATATTATGTGAAGAATTAATTAATGCTTTTAGATGTTCTGCAGAAAAATATGCAGTTCCAGCAAAAATAATTTTTAATTTATTCAAATTTCCTTAATTCCTTTAATATTTTTTTTGATTTCTTTTCACAGATTTTTGTAATTTTTTTTTAATTCTTTCTTGCTTGAACTGTGATAAATAATCAATAAAAAGTTTACCTTTAAGATGATCTATCTCGTGTTGTATACAAATAGATACTATAGAATGTGCTTCTATTTCTATTTTTTGACCATATAAATTTATTGCTTGAACTTTTATATAATCCGCTCTTGGTACAAAAGCACGATATTCTGGAATTGATAAACATCCTTCTTCAATACTAATCTTTCCTTCTTTTTTAATGATTTTTGGATTAATAAGTATTAAATAATCTTTTTGTTGTTCTATTTTACTAATAACTATAATTTGTAGGGGAATATTAACTTGAATTGCTGCTAAACCGATGCCTTCTTCTTGATGCATGGTATCAATCATATCATTGACAATATTTTGTATTTGTTTATTGATTTTATGTACAGGTTTTGCAATCAATCTTAAACGTTCATCTGGATAATGTAGTATTTTTAACAAAGACATATATTTAAATGTAAAATTATTGAATTTTATATATTAGTATAAACTTTTTTATTATAATTAAAAGTTTACTATCGTTTTATTTTTAAAAAGGTATTGTTTTTGATAATACAATTTTGAGTAAAATTTATTTACAATACATCACAATATTTTACATGTTATATATATTAATAATATTTATAAAAAATCTATATGTAGAATATATTACTAAATATTTAAATTTTTTAATATGTGTTTGAGGATGTAATGTTTGATATATTAATATATTTGTTTGAAAATTATGTACATGGTGAATCAAAAATTGCCATTGATTATGACAGTTTAACAAATGATTTATCAGATATCGGATTTCAACAAAAAGATATTTATGATGCTTTACGTTGGTTAAAAAATTTATCTTCTTATAAAAAAAATATTATTTCTCCTATGAATTCATTATCTAATCAGATTTCAATTCGAATTTATACGCTAGAAGAATCTTTTAAATTAAATTCTGATTGTCGTGGCTTCATACTTTTTTTAGAACAATTAGAAATATTAAAGTTAGACACACGTGAAATGATTATTGAAAGAATTATGGATTTAGATGTGAATGAATTAAATATTGAAGATTTAAAATGGATTATATTAATTGTATTATTCAATGTACCGGGATGCAAAGAAATTTATCATAAACTTGAAAATTTATTATTTAATTTTCAATCAGAAATAATTCATTAAAAATTTTATTTTAATAAAAAAATAATATAATTTTTTTATGGTGAGAAAACATTAATGGAAGAATATTATTTTCCAAATTCATTGCTTTATTGTGTGTATATGCTAAATAGTGAAAATGTAATAGCATATCCTACAGAATCTATGTTTGGACTCGGTTGTGATCCTAATAGTGAGAAAGCTGTAAAAAAATTATTATATTTAAAAAAAAGAAATATAGAAAAAGGATTCATACTAGTAGCTTCAGATTTTAATCAAATAAAAATGTATATTAATGAAAACAATTTATTAAAAAAACAAAAAGAAAAAATTTTTTTTCATTGGCCTGGTCCATTTACTTTTTTACTTCCAGCACATCCGCGAGTACCTTACTGGCTAACTGGGAAATTTAATACTGTCGCCGTTCGTATAAGTGCTCATATTGACATAATAAAATTATGTAATGCTTTTGGAAAAGCTTTAATATCTACAAGTGCTAATATTACGAATATGAGTCCATGTATGACTCGTGAAGAAGTTTTAAAAAATTTTGGTAAAGATTTTCCATTGTTAAATGGAAAGATAGGAAATGAAAAAAATCCTTCTCAGATAATTAATATTATTAATGGAAAATTGATCCGAAATGTTTAAATATAAAAAATTTAATTACGCTTTATTTGGAAACCCTATTGATCATAGTAAATCTCCTCAAATTCATCATTTTTTTTCAAAACAAACAGGTTTTTTTCATATTTATACAGCAGTGAATGTTTCGTTCAGTGATTTTGCTTTTGTTTTATGTAATTTTTTTAAAAAAAATGGTCAAGGAGCTAATATTACTGCACCGTTTAAAGAACAAGCTTATCTTTTCTCTAATAAATTAACTGAAAGAGCTAAAATTGCTCAATCTGTTAACACATTAAAAAAAATAGATGATACATGTATTTTAGGTGATAATACAGATGGTATAGGATTATTATCTGATTTAATTCGATTAAATTTTATAAAAAGAAAATATTCAATATTAATAATTGGTGCTGGTGGAGCAGTAAAAGGTGTTATCTTTCCTCTTTTATCATTTGGTTGTTCAATATTTATTTCAAATAGAACTTTCTCAAATGCTCAAAAATTAGTTTTTCAATTTAATAAATATGGAAATATAAATATATTTGATCAATTTTCATCACAAATAAAATATTTTGATTTAGTTATTAACGCAACATCGAAAAATATTGAAAAAAAAGATAATTTTGTTCCTTTATCTTTTCTTTCTTCTAATACTTTTTTTTATGATATGAATTATCAAAAAGATAACACACCTTTTATTAATTGGTGTATTAAAATAGGAGCTACTTTTTTTTCTAATGGAATAGGCATGTTAGTTTTTCAGGCTGCTCATTCTTTTTTTTTATGGCATAACAAGCTTCCAGAAACAGATTATATTATTGATCATCTAAATAAAAATTTTAATATATAAAAGATTTTTTTATTAAATATTAACAGTTTGTAATTGTATTTTTATAAATATTTTAATTTTTTACTAATAAAGAAGAAAATACTTGACTCTTTTTTTTCGATCTGTATTATTTATAGTGTTATTTAATAAAAAAACAATAATTTTAAAAATATAGAAAAAACTAGTCCCCTTCGTCTAGAGGTCTAGGACATCGCCCTTTCACGGCGGCAACAGGGGTTCAAATCCCCTAGGGGACGATAAATAAAAATTATTTATGAAATAAATATATACTAATTTAAATTATTATGTTATTCTCAAGATAACTTTTAAAATAAGTTAAAATTAAAAAATAACAAAGCTCTTTAAAAATTCGGAAAACAAGCATAAATAACTTATTTTTAGAAAAACACCTGTGGGTTGTAAGGTTAAGCAAATAAGCGTACATGGTGAATGCCTTGGCAGTCAGAGGCGATGAAGGACGTGCAAATCTGCGAAAAGCGTCGGTAAGCTGATATGAAGCGCAATAACCGTCGATATCCGAATGGGGAAACCCGATGCAATTAAATGCATCATTATTAATTGAATTAAATAAATTAATAAAGCAAACCAAGGGAACTGAAACATCTAAGTACCTTGAGGAAAAGAAATCAACCGAGATTCCCCTAGTAGTGGCGAGCGAAAAGGGAGCAGCCCAGAACCATCATCAATTTAAATTATAGTAGAATGATTTGGAAAATTCAGCGATACAAGGTGATAGCCCAGTATACAAAATAATTTATATTGTGAGTTCAAAAAGTAGAGCGGGACACGAGAAATCCTGTTTGAATATGGGGGGACCATCCTCCAAGGCTAAATACTCCTGACTGACCGATAGTGAACTAGTACCGTAAGGGAAAGGCGAAAAGAACCCCGGCGAGGGGAGTGAAATAGAACCTGAAACCGTGTACGTACAAGCAGTGGAAGCATATTTTTTAAAATAATTTGTGACTGCGTACCTTTTGTATAATGGGTCAGCGACTTGTACTCTGTAGCAAGGTTAACCGAATAGGGGAGCCGAAGGGAAACCGAGTCCTAAATAGGCGTTAAGTTTCAGGGTACAGACCCGAAACCCGGTGATCTAGCCACGGGCAGGTTGAAGGTTGGGTAAAACCAACTGGAGGACCGAACCGACTGATGTTGAAAAATCAGCGGATGACCTATGGCTAGGGGTGAAAGGCCAATCAAACCGGGAGATAGCTGGTTCTCCCCGAAAGCTATTTAGGTAGCGCCTCGTGAATTCATCTACGGGGGTAGAGCACTGTTTCGGCTAGGGGGCCATCCCGGCTTACCAACCCGATGCAAACTCCGAATACCGTAGAATGCTATCACGGGAGACACACAGCGGGTGCTAACGTTCGTTGTGGAAAGGGAAACAACCCAGACCGCCAGCTAAGGTCCCAAAGTCATAGTTAAGTGGGAAACGATGTGGGAAGGCATAAACAGCCAGGATGTTGGCTTAGAAGCAGCCATCATTTAAAGAAAGCGTAATAGCTCACTGGTCAAGTCGGCCTGCGCGGAAGATGTAACGGGGCTCAAACTATGCACCGAAGCTGCGGCAGCAAAAAATATTATATTTTTTTGCTGGGTAGGGGAGCGTTCTGTAAGCCAATGAAGATATATTGTAAAATATATTGGAGGTATCAGAAGTGCGAATGCTGACATGAGTAACGATAAAGCAGGTGAAAAACCTGCTCGCCGAAAAACCAAGGTTTCCTGTCCAACGTTAATCGGGGCAGGGTAAGCCGACCCCTAAGGCGAGGCTGAAAAGCGTAGTCGATGGACAACAGGTTAATATTCCTGTGCTTAATATTACTGCGAAGTGGGGACGAAGAAGGTTAGGTTATCCAGGTGACGGTTATCCTGGTTTAAATGTGTAGGTATGATAATTAGGCAAATCCGATTATCTTTAATCTGAGGCATGACGACGAATCATTAAGGTGATGAAGTAACTAATACCACGCTTCCAAGAAAAGCCTCTAAGCATCAGGTAAAATTAAATCGTACCCTAAACCGACACAGGTGGTTAGGTAGAGAATACTAAGGCGCTTGAGAGAACCCAGGTGAAGGAACTAGGCAAAATAGTGCCGTAACTTCGGGAGAAGGCACGCTAGTACTAAGTAAAAGAATTTACTTCTGTAGCTGAAACTAGTCGAAGATACCAGCTGGCTGCAACTGTTTATTAAAAACACAGCACTGTGCAAACACGAAAGTGGAAGTATACGGTGTGACGCCTGCCCGGTGCCGGAAGGTTAATCGAAGGAGTCAAAGGAAACTTAAAGCTCTAGACTGAAGCCCCGGTAAACGGCGGCCGTAACTATAACGGTCCTAAGGTAGCGAAATTCCTTGTCGGGTAAGTTCCGACCTGCACGAATGGCGTAATGATGGCCAGGCTGTCTCCACCTGGGACTCAGTGAAATTGAAATTGCTGTGAAGATGCAGTATATCCGCGGCAAGACGGAAAGACCCCGTGAACCTTTACTATAGCTTGACACTGAATTCTAAATTTTAATGTGTAGGATAGGTGGGAGGCTATGAAATTAAAACGCCAGTTTTAATGGAGCCAAACTTGAAATACCACCCTTTAAAATTCGGTATTCTAACCTAGTGCCGTAATCCGGTACAGAGACAGTGTCTGGTGGGTAGTTTGACTGGGGCGGTCTCCTCCCAAAGAGTAACGGAGGAGTACGAAGATTGGCTAATCACGGTCGGACATCGTGAGGTTAGTGCAAAGGCATAAGCCAGTTTGACTGTGAGCGTGATAACGCGAGCAGGTGCGAAAGCAGGTCTTAGTGATCCGGTGGTTCTGAATGGAAGGGCCATCGCTCAACGGATAAAAGGTACTCCGGGGATAACAGGCTGATACCGCCCAAGAGTTCATATCGACGGCGGTGTTTGGCACCTCGATGTCGGCTCATCACATCCTGGGGCTGAAGCAGGTCCCAAGGGTATGGCTGTTCGCCATTTAAAGTGGTACGCGAGCTGGGTTTAGAACGTCGTGAGACAGTTCGGTCCCTATCTGCCGTGGGCGCTGGAAGATTGAGGGGGGCTGCTTCTAGTACGAGAGGACCGAAGTGGACGCATCACTGGTGTTCGGGTTGTCATGCCAATGGCATTGCCCGGTAGCTAAATGCGGAAAAGATAAGCGCTGAACGCATATAAGCACGAAACTTGCCCCAAGATGAATCTTCCCTGAAACAGAAATGTTTACTGAAGGGACGTTGAAGACTACAACGTTGATAGGCTAGGTGTGTAAGCATAGCAATATGTTGAGCTAACTAGTACTAATGACCCAAGAGGCTTAACCTTACAACACCAGAGGTGTTTTTAAAATAAATTTAATAAAAAAGCTTGTTTTACTGAATTTATTACTGTATGAATGTATTTTAATAACACAAAATTTATTAAAATGCCTGGTAAAAATAGTGTAGTGGTACCACCTGAATCCATTCCGAACTCAGAAGTGAAACGCTTCAACGCCGATGGTAGTACGGGGTCTCCCCGTGTGAGAGTAGGTCCAATCCAGGCAAAAAAAACCCGAAATTTTTTTCGGGTTTTTTTGTATTTAAAATAAATTACTTTCTAGCTAAGAGCTCATTTACATGTTAATCTATTTAGAATTTAATTTTTTTTAAATAATGATTTTTTAGATTAAGTATTTATCAAAAAAAATCATTTATAAATCTGTTTTTTCAATTTAGTATATTTTTTATGTGAAGGTAATATAGATGTCCAAGATTAAAGGTAATGTGAAGTGGTTTAATGAATCTAAAGGTTTTGGTTTTATTACACCAGAAGATGGAAGTAAGGACGTATTTGTTCATTTTTCAGCTATACAAAGCAATGGATTCAAAACTTTAGCAGAAGGTCAAAGTGTGGAATTCGAAATTACCGAAGGAGCAAAAGGACCATCTGCTGCTAATGTAGTCAGTTTATAAGCTTTTAAAAGTTTTAAAATAGTATTCAAATAAATCTTTTTTTTTGTATTAAATATAAATATGTTATTTATAGTACGGCTCTTTAATAGGGCTGTACTATATTAAAAAAATATTTTTTATAAAACCATTCTAACTATATTAATTTTGCTAATTTCATGATATAAAATTTCAATTTGTTCAAAATTTTTAGCACATATTGTAATAGAAACAGAAAGATAATTGCCTCTGTTACTTGATTTAACTTGAGGTGTGTAATCGCCAGGAATCTGAATCTGAATGACTTTTATTATTTGGTCAATAAGTTCAGGCTGAGCTAAGCCTATGATCTTATAAGTAAAAAAACAAGGGAATTTTAACATTTCTCTTAATTTTGTTTGCATGATGAATTCCATATTTGTTTTTTACAATAAAATATTCTATAGTTAAAAAACTATTTTTTATTGATTCTTAATAAAATTTTTAAAGTATTTGAATAATTATATAATTAAGTTAATGTATAATCTATTTTTTATTTAAATAATAGCAACTTGATCTATATAACATATTAAAAGATTTTTAAAATATTCTTGTATTAATGCTTCTAATAAATAATAAATTATCAGTTTAACATATTGATAATATAGAAAATAATATATTTTATGTTATTTTCTATAAATATATTTTTTTAGGATATACATCATGTTAAAAATTTTTAATACACTTACTAGAAAAAAAGAAATTTTTAAATCTATTGAAAAAAATAAGATTAATTTATATGTATGCGGAGTAACGGTATATGATTTTTGTCATATTGGTCATGGACGTACCTTTGTTGCTTTTGATATGATAATGCGTTATTTGCGTTATTCTGGTTTTCAAGTAAAATATATTCGTAATATTACTGATATTGATGATAAGATTGTTTTAAAATCAATAAAAGAAAAAATTGATTTGAATGTTTTAACTTCTTCAATGATAAAAGAAATGCATAAAGATTTTTTTTCATTAGGTATTTTACCTCCTGATGAAGAACCGTGTGTTACAAATCATATTAATCATATTATTAATATGATCCTCATTTTATTAAAAAAACAACATGCATATATAAATGAAAAAAATGATGTTATTTTTTCCGTGGATAGTTATCCTTATTATGGAATTTTATCTGGTCAAGTTTTAAAATCACTAAAATCTGGATCGCGTGTCCCATTAAATAATTTTAAAAAAAATCCTTTAGATTTTGTTCTGTGGAAAAATTCTAAAAAAGAAGAACATTCTTGGCATTCTCCATGGGGAAAAGGCCGTCCTGGTTGGCATATTGAATGTAGTACTATTACTAGTGTTTTTTTTAAAAATTCTATAGATATTCATGGAGGTGGATCTGATCTTCTTTTTCCTCATCATGAAAATGAAAGATCTCAATCGATATGTTTTAATAAAAAATCAATAGTAAATTTTTGGATGCATACTGGTGTTTTAATGGTCAATAATAAAAAAATGTCTAAATCTTTAGGTAACGTATATCTTCTTAGAGATGTTTTAAAAAACTATAATGCTGAAGTTTTACGTTATTTTTTTCTATCAACGCATTATCGACATCCTATTGATTATTCTGAAAAAAATTTGCAACAATCATATACATCATTAAAATATTTATATACAGCATTATATAATACTAATCCAAATTCTGATACTATTGAAGGCAGTCATTTTATTGATGATTTTCATCAAGCGATGAATGATGATTTTAATACTCCTACAGTTTTTTCTATTTTTTTTAAATTAGCAAAAGAAATTAATTTTTTAAAAAAACAAAATATGTTCAAAGCAAATAAATTATCTTTTATATTACGAAATTTAGCTAATACTTTAGGTTTTTTATTACAAGATCCAGAAAGTTTTTTACAAGAAAAATCTAGATTAACTGAATCTATGATTAAAAAAATTGAATATTTAATAAATAAAAGAAACATTGCTAGACAGTGTAAATTATGGAAAGAAGCAGATAATTTAAGAAAAACGCTTCTATCTTTAGATATAGTTTTAGAAGATTTACATGATAAAACAATATGGCGTAAAAAATAATAAAAAACTATTATATTATTTTTATTAATGATCATGATACTTTTCACATGCTTCTAATGTATTTTGTAATAATGTGGCCACAGTCATAGGACCAACACCTCCAGGAACAGGTGTGATATAAGATGCTTTTAAATATGCTGATTCAAAATCTACATCACCAACTATATTCCCGTTATTTAAACGATTAATACCAACATCTACAACTATAGAGCCTTTTTTAATCCATTCCCCTTTTAAAAATTTTGCTTTACCTACTGCTACAATTAATAAATCAGCATTTTCTACATGTTTTTTTAAGTCATGAGTAAATTTATGTGTAACAGTTGTTGTACATCCTGCCAATAATAGTTCTAGACTCATAGGTCTTCCAACTAAGTTCGATGCTCCGACCATGACGGCATGTAATCCATGAGTTTTAATATTATAATATTGTAACATGGTTATAATACCTTTGGGTGTACACGCTCTTAGCTTTGGTGTTCTTTGACATAAAGAGCCTGTATTATATGGATGAAAACCATCTACGTCTTTATCTGGATTAATACTACTTAGAATTTTTACATGGTTAATTTGTTGAGGTAGTGGTAGTTGTATTAAAATTCCATCTATATTTTTGTTATTATTTAATTGTTTAATCAAATTTAGTATATCAATTTCATTAGCGTTTTCAGGAAAATTCCAACATTCTGAAAAAAATCCAACGTTTTTACATGCTATTTTTTTTTTGTTTACATAAATTTTAGAGGGTGTATTTTCCCCTACTAAAATCATAGCTAATCCCGGTATTTTTTTACCATTTTTTTTTCTTTTATTAACTTTTTTTAAAATATTCAATTGTATTTTTTTTGATATTTTATTACCATCTATAATTATTGCTGACATTAGTAAATAACTCGATTAATTTTTATGTATTATTAAAGATAAATATATAAGAGATTAGTTTAATATATTTACAGATTATTAGAGATATTAAAAAATATTAATAGCAATTTAGTTTCATATATATTATATTAATGTTTGAGATTTTAATATAATAATTATTTATGCGTTCTTAGCTCAGTTGGATAGAGCAACGGCCTTCTAAGCCGTAGGTCACAGGTTCAAATCCTGTAGAACGCAAAATATTTTATATTTTTTTTGTTATCCATTAAAAGTGTTTTTTTAATATTCCTTCTATTTGATTTTTAATAATTGATGATGAATTTATTCCATTAATTTTAAAAAATTTTATATTTCCTATTTTTTTTTGATTTTTATAATAATTAACAACTGAGTGAGTCAATTTTTCGTATTCCTTTAATCTTTTTTCTACACTTTCTTTTTTGTCATCTTCTCTTGTAATTAATGACTCTCCAGTTAGATCATCTTGATTCTCAATTTTAGGTGGATGAAATTTTATATGATATATTCTTCCTGATTGAAGATGTATTCTCCTTCCTGAAATACGTTCTAATATTAATTTGTATGGGACTATGAATTCTAAAACATAATCTATTTTAATTTTATTATTGGATAAATAATGAGCTTGTTCAATAGTTCTTGGAAAACCATCTAATATAAAACCATTAATACAATCTTTTTTTTGAATTCTAATTTTAATTAAATCACAAACAATTTTATCAGAAACTAATTTGCCCTTTTCAACTGTTTTTTGAATCATTTTCCCAAATGTATCTTGTGCATAGATGCTTTCTCTTAATATGTCACCTGTAGATATTTTTGGAATATTATATTTTTCTGTAATAAACTTTCCTTGTGTTCCTTTTCCTGTACCAGGTGCACCTAGTAAAATAATACGCATGATGATTTCTTATTTATTTTATCTAATTTTAATGTTAGATACATATTTATTAATCTTAAGATTACTACTAGTATAGTAGTAATCATATATTTTATTATGGAAGAATCAATAATTTATTCATTCTAGAAATAAACTTATGTGGATTTTCTAAGTTACCTTTTTCAGCTAATAGTGCTTGATCTAATAGTAAATTAATCCATTCGTTTAATTTTTTTTCATCATGTATTAAAGACACTTTTTTTATTAACATATGTTCTGGGTTAATTTCAAAAATATATTTTAATTCTGGAACAGATTGTCCTGCTGCAGAAAAAAGTTTTGCCATTTGTGTAGTCATTTCATTAGAATCACTTAAAAGTACGCATGGTGTTTCTGTTAATCTATTCGTTAATCTTACGTCTTTTACTTTATCCCCTAGTATTTTTTTAACTTTTTTTAAAAAATCAATCATTTCTGTTGAAAGTTCATCATTTTTTATTTTTTTATCTTGAGTTAATTTATTTAAAGACAAATCTTCTTTGCTAATAGATTGAAATTTTTTCCCATCAAAATCAGTAAGATAGTTCATCATCCATTCATCAATTCGATCTGATAGTAATAGAACATCAATATTATTTTTCTTGAATAATTCTAAATGGGGACTATTTTTTGCAGCTTCATAACTATCTGCAGTAATATAGTATATTTTTTCTTGTTGTGAATTCATGCTATCTACGTATTCTTTTAATGATATTTTTTGTTCCGCACTATTATTTTTGATAGATGCAAAACGTAAAAGATTAGCAATTCTTGCTAAATTATCATGATCTTCTGCTGGTCCTTCCTTAAAGATAAGTCCAAATTGATTCCAAAAAATTTGATATTTCTCTTTAGAATTTTTAGACAATTTTTCTAGCATATTTAATGATCTTTTAATCAGTGCTTTTTTTAAATTTTCTGTAATAGAGTTATTTTGTAAGATTTCTCTAGAAACATTTAAAGGTAAATCGTTTGAATCAATTAATCCTCTAATGAATCGTAAATAACTAGGAAGAAATTCTTGATAGTTATCCATAATGTAAACACGTTTTACATATAGTTTTAAACCATGTTTATTGTCTCTATTCCATATATCCCAAGCTGCTTTTTCTGGAATAAATAATAAACTAATGTATTCTTGATTGCCTTCTACTCGATTATGACTCCACACGAGTGGATTATTTTGATCATTAGTTAAATGTTTATAAAAATCTTTATATTCATCATCAGTGATAGAAGATTGACTCATTGTCCATAAAGCTTTAGCTTTATTAATTTGTTCCCAAAAATATGTTTTATTTTTGTCATCATAATTTTGAATGTATACTGGTACAGTAATGTGATCAGAGTATTTACTAATTATGTTTTTAATCCGCCATATTTCTAAAAATTCTTCTTCTTCTTTTTTTAAGAATAAAGTAATTTCGGTTCCTTTTGTTTTTTTACTTATATTTGTAATATTATATTTTCCTTCTCCTGAAGATTCCCATAATGTTCCTTCATTTGTTTTTGTTCCAGCAAATCTAGTTCTGACAGATACTTGTTCTGATACAATAAAAGATGAATAAAAACCAACTCCGAATTCTCCAATCAGTTCATTTTTTTTATTTTGTTTGTTTTCTAAAGATTGCAGAAAAGATTTTGTTCCTGATTTAGCAATAGTTCCAAGATTTTCAATTGTTTCTTGTCGTGTCATCCCAATTCCATTATCACTGATAATGAGTGTTCTTTGTGCTTTATTAATAGATATTTGAATTTTCATATCACTATCATTTTCATATAATTCTGGTAATGATAGAGATTCAAATCTTAATTTATCAATTGCATCTGATGCATTAGATATTAATTCTCGTAAAAAAATTTCTTTATTAGAATATAAGGAATGAATCATTAAATGCAACAATTGTTTAACTTCTGATTGAAAATTATATACTTCTTTTTTTTCTGTTTTCATAAAAACATCTCTTTTATAATCGTAATTATATTTTTTAAATCTAGTATTTATATATCATTTATACAGGCATATTAAAACCAGTTGGAAGTTGCATGCCTGTAGATATATCAGACATTTTCTTTTTTTGCACTTCAGATATTCTTCGTGCTGCATCATTGAATGCAGCTGCTGCTAAATCTTCTAACATGTCTTTATCATCTTTAAGTAAACTAGGATCTACTTCTACTCGTCTACAATTATGTGCACCATTAATAGTGACTTTAACTAATCCAGCACCAGCTTCTCCTGTTACTTCCATTTTTGCTATTTCTTCTTGTATTTTTGCCATTTTTTCTTGCATTTGTTGTGCTTGTTTCATTAAATTTCCTAAACCGTTTTTAGTAAACATGTTTTTTATTCTCTCTATTATAAAGATAAAAATTTTTTATAACACTGAAATGAAATTAACATTTTTTCTATTAAGTTTGGCATTAAAATTTTTTTTAAAAAACTGAATATTTGGATCTTTTATTAATAATAAATATTCTTTTAATGTTCTTTCTTTATATATTTTTTTGAACCATTCATAAGGAGTTAAAATATTTAGTATCTTTGTTTTTTTTATAATTAGTTTTATTTTTTTTTCTGTTATTGTACTAAGCTCTTTTTTAAATATAATCCATGCATCATATTTTATTAAATCTTTATTTTTTTTATTTAAAAATACATACCAATATTTTAAAGTATTTTTATATGAAGTATGTATAGCTAATTTTTGAACTATTTTTGGTAAATTTTTTAATTTATATATTTCTCTATACCAAGGATCTATTTCTTGAATCTTTTTGAGAATTATTTCATTTTTTTCATTTTTTAACATCTTTGATTGATAAAAAAAATTTTCAGATGTCAAACGTATTTTTTTTTCATTCAAATGTATTTTTTGAATATTTTTTTTAATAGATATAATCTTATTTTTATTTTGTAATAATTCAAATCTATTTTTTAAAATGATATTTGTGTCGAAAATCTTGTTTTTATTGCATGTCTTTTTTTTATTTAGAGTAATCATTTTTATTATAAAGTGTAAATGAGAAAAATTTTTTTGATGTTTTTTATTCTTTATATGCTATCAATAGCACGCAGCAAAGTCATTTCGACTCCTATTTTTTGACTAGGCGAAAATTTTAATTCTTTTCTTCCATTTATTAATATTTGATAACATAATTGAATTTTATTTTTGTTAATATTTTTTCCTATTTTTTTAATTTCATTTTTATAAATTTCTGTAACACTTTGTTCCCACTCTAGTGGTAAAGATTGTGACATATTAATTTGATATAACAAATGTAACATTTCTATTAAAACTTCTTCCCATTCTACTCCTATATTACTTATTTCATTTAATAAAAACATTGTTTTTTTTACATCTTTTTTTAAAACTGCATCAGTTAATAAAAAAGAATGTTTTTCAGCAGGAATTCCTAACATGTTTGTTATATTTTTTATATTAACAATTCCATTGCCTAAATTTATACCATGTTCTAATAAATTCAGTGCATCTCTTATACTTCCTTTAGCATGATTTGATATTTTTCTTAAAGAATTATTATCAAATTTAATACATTCTTTTCTTAAAATATATGTTAATAGATTAAAAATGTTTTCTTCAGAAAGTATTTTAAATTTAAAATATAAACAACGAGAAATAATAGTTTTAGGTATTTTTTCTATATCTGTAGTCGCTAAGATAAATTTTATATGTTTAGGTGGCTCTTCAAGTGTTTTAAGTAAAGCATTAAAACTATGTCGAGAAAGCATATGAACTTCATCAATTAAATATATTTTAAAACGACTTTTAACTGGAGAATAATAAATATTATCTAAAATTTCTCGTATGTCTTCTACTTTTGTTCGAGAGGCAGCATCAATTTCTAGAAAATCTAGACATAATCCTTTTTCTATTTCTTGACAAATAATGCATTTTCTACAAGGATTTGCTGTAATACCTTTTTGACAATTTAAACTTTTAGCTAATAATCGAGCAATTGTAGTTTTTCCAACTCCTCGTGTACCAGATAATAACCACGAATGATGAATACGATTTAAAGATAATTCATTAGAGATGGCAGTTACAATATGAGCTTGACCAATTATATCTTGAAAAGATTGTGGACGCCATTTTCTTGCTAATATTTGATAATTCATATATTATGATATAATATTTTATAAAAAAGACTATGCTATCAATATTTATTATATTATGAAAGTATTCTTATTTATTTTTAAAATATTTTTAATGATAAATACTAGTTGTAAATTTTAAATTTTATATATAAAATGTACTTTTTAATTTTAATAAAAATA